TGATGGCTAAGGACAGCTAAGCGACCTGCCTCGAAAGGGCTCCTATGGATAGGACAAGCGGCGTGTTAAAAGATAAATGACAGAGACTGCTTTGAAACACACCAAATATATTTAAAGCCATGATGATACTAAAAAAAAAGTCATATGTAGAAGTTACTATAGCAACAATTCATTATTCTGAAAATGGCAAATAAAAAGGATCAAGCAAGCATTTACTCTGCCTTTTCTGGACAAACTATTTTAGAGTAACCAAATAGCTGAGAAGGAATAATTCTAGATAATCAAGGCCAAAGGAAATGACAGAATTAGAGTATCACCATTTTGCAATTCCTAAAAACCAGCTACCACCACTGGGTGCTAACCCCATTAGTTGAAAGGTGGAAGGGAAGTTCAGAGGGGTGAACTGCACTCACCATACTTGAACCACTCATCAATCTTCTTACCAATCACAGAGACAGAGAACTAGACATGATGTGTCTCCTGAGCAACCCCATAGGAAGCACAAGCACCACTGGCAAGGTTTTCCAAGCTCGCTCGCGCTCTCTCGCTCTCTCTCATCCCCACCTCTTTCTTCCCCCACCCCGCCACCCCACCCCCACCACCTTTCAAACCAGCTCTGATCAAGGCTCACAACCTAACAAAAATCTAGAAATTGTGGATGGTGCTAAATGACTCCACAGGATGTAATTGACAATCTGGAATGGGGGAAGTGCCACAATCTGAGGAACCTATTTCTTCAATTAATAAATAGTAATGAAAGGAGGGAATATTGTTTAGATTAAAAGTGATTCCAAAGATATACCCAGCCAAATCCATATGTGGACCCTGTTTGAATCTTAATTAAAACCATGTATAAAAAGACATTTGTAGGCCAGGTGTGGGGGCTTATGCCTGTAATACCAATAATTTGGGAGGCCAAGGTGGGAGGATCACTTGAGCCCAGGAGTTTGAGACTAGCCTGGGCAACATAAGAAGACCCCGTCACTACAAAAAAAAATACAAAAATTAGCCAGGTGTGGTGGCAAGTGCCTGTAGTCTGGGTCCTTGGGGGCGGAGGTGGGACGATCGCTTAAGCCCAGGAGCCTAAGGCTGTAGTGAACTATGATCACACCCGTGCACTCCAGCTTGGCTGACAAAGGAAGACTCTGTCTCAAAAAAAAAAAAAAAAAAGACATTTACAGAACAATCAGAAAATTTAACAATGCTGGATTTCAGATAATATTAAAGAATTACTATTAATTTTTAAGATAAGATAATGATATTTTATTTGTATTTCTGAAAGGGAGAATTTACTGTTGAAATTCACAAATAAAATGATAAATCTAGAATTTTAAATAATCCACTGAAGGTGGATATAGGCCCATAAATTGATAATCAGTGAAGATGGGTGAGTAAAATAGGAGGAGAATCCATTCTCTCTACTTTTGTATATATCTTCAAATTTCCACAATAAAAAGGTACTTAAATATCCTATATACAAACACTACAAAATTCAAGTTGAACAAAGGAATCCAAAAAGGCTTGTGATTACAGATGCTCCTTGGCTTACCCTGATAAACCCATTGTAAGTTAAGCTAAAAATATTATAAGTCAAAAATGAACTGATTGTACCTAATCTACTCAATATCCCAGTTTAACTTAGCCTAGTTACCTTAAATGTGCTCAGTTTAAGCCTACAGTTACCCTGGTCTGCAGCTGGGCAAAACCATGTAAAACAAAACCTATCTTATAATCCCATGTTGACTATCTCATGTAATTTATCGAATGCTGCACTGAAAGTGAAAATCAATGGTTGTTTAGCATTTGACGTGCAGGTTCTACTGAATGCATAGCGCACTGGCACCAACAAGTCGAAAAATCACAAGTCAAACCACCGTAACTTGAGGACTGCCTATATTTTTGTTTTGTAATTTTACCTAAATAGCTATCTTAATTACATGAACTAAGTGGTATTTATTTTTCTTTCATACTAAATGGATCCTGGACAAAGGGGAGAATTCTAATGATTCCACCTCGAAATCCTAATAGTGGTCAGCATTTAGTAAACTTAAGCAGCAGGGACATGTCGGGGGCAGGGGCTTTAAAAAGGTGTTGACACAGTTATAAAGACTGACTGTGGAAACTGTGATGGTTTTCTCACCCCCGGAGCGTGCTTAAAAAGAAAACCACCGTGGTGGGAGCACAAAGTAAGTTACCAGATATAATTGCCAAAGAGTTACAATTTATCCTCACAGACTGAACAATAACTCTGTCCGTCAGATGATGGACTTCAGAAAAAAACACAAAAAGTATTAAGTGTAACAGGAAAGTGGTCAGAGAGGTGAGAGCGCTGCAGCAATGAGGAGGTAAGGAGGAAAAGTGACCACCACCCCTACTTTTAATGGGCCTGGGCGGTGATAACAAGCAGAGCCTCAGAATTTCTGTAAGAGCCCAAGAATGCAACACAGAACATTCAGCACCAAATGTTGCTAAATGTTTCAACTACTTTGAAAAATTTAACTGTTCCAAAGCACATCTGTGACCATGTATGACTAAATGTGACATACATAAAAATATGACAGAGCACTGTAGGCCCAACTACTAGGGAGGCTGAAGTGGGAGGATGGCGTAAGCCCAGGAAGTTCAAGGTTTCAGAGAGCCGTGATTGCACCACTGCACTCCAGCCTGGGTGACAGAGTGAGACCCTTTTTCTGAATTAAAAACAAAAAAAAAAACAACCAAAAGAAAAGAAAAAGCAGTCTTGAAAAATTCCTCATTTAAAGCTTTTCAGAGAGAAAACTCCCAGTCTGGTCTGCATGTGACACATTTCTCTTGTCGGAAGCATTTTCTGAGTAGGTATCAGTGACTGCCACCCCAAGCCGTGTGGCGTCTGCACCGTGTCTCCTCCATGCCACACTTACACCTCTTCTGAGACGCAATCTTCGTTCCCTCTGAAGGGAATGAAGAGGCTGAGTTTCCAAAGGAAGATTATTTTAAGCTACATTTGTATTGTTTTTCACCAAATCAACCGATTTGGTTGATTAATCAATCAACAGAGCGACTGATTAATCGCTCTGTCTCCAGAATCACTTGGTATTGTGACTTCCAACCAATCCTTATTCATACAGATTTTCAGCTATTTCCCTGTGAAAACTAGAAAGACAGGGCAATCGCATATGAAAAAGATGTTAAGGTTTTCTTTCTTCAGCTGACTTCTCACTGATGTGATACTGCCCTTGTTACATTCCACAGCAGGCAAGAGCTATGGGGCACGCTCCCTTAGGAAGCGATGACTGTGCCACGTGCGCCTGGCAGGCAGGAAGCCTCTGATGGGTGCACTGTCCGCAGCACTGCCCCTACCTTCAGGGAGGAAGCCTCTGCTGGGTGCACTGCCCGCGGCGCGGCCCCTACC